TTATAGCAGCCTGTGTATAGCCTGAGGGCATAGTGGGGGAAGCTGGAAGGTCAGAGGACTCCTGTTTGAGAAATGATTTTAGTGAGCAAATCCCCCAAAAATTATAACAGTGTTGATCCTCAGTGGGAATTCCACCCTTGGATGTCGGTTGAGGTTAGGGCTTTGTAAACCAGTCAGGCTCCTCCACACCAAACTGGGAAAAGTTTCTTTGAGTGGAGCTGGCTTTGTGTACAGGGGCATTGTTGTGTTGAAACAGGAAAGGGACACAAAGTGGTGACAAAAAGCTGGAAGCAAAAACTATCTTTTTGTAGCATTAAGATTTTGTTAGTACAGAAAATCTCTAATGTCTAAGTTTGTACATTATACTATATGTGTCTAGCAATTTTCAACAAACATCCCATCACTGAGCTATAAATTATATCATGGGCCTCTAATAGTGAATGGAAAGTAAGGATGAGAAAATTAGTGTACTTCCTGATTTTTAGGTCTACTCTGGATAAAAGCAAAAAAAAACTGTGTATACTTTGCTACAACTCTTAGCATCCTCTTCTCCAAAGCAATGGCTTTTGTTGTATGGACGAAGAGCACCATGTCAAACTAGCAGAAAAAGCATTTCTCATGAAATTAAATTAAATTACAGTAATTTGAACTTTTAGCCATAACATGAAGCTGTAGTGCTGTTAAATTACCCAGGAGGCCACAGGCCGCTGTGTTTCCTTGTTGGGGACTGTTAGATAGATAGATAGATATCACTAGTTATCAATAACATTCTTCATTCAGAGACTCATGCTGTCACACCACCTTTCTTTTTTTCTGAAGCTGCTGTTTTTGAGTATGACTGATCTAATCAGAGACAAATTGACCTAAATACAAATACACTCACAGTGCATGACATGGTTTACACATTCATCAGGAAGTGGTGGGTAACCCTGGTTCAGAAGTTTACCACCCTTTTATTTGAGGGCCCTGTTTCGAGCCTCACATCAATAATAAGTTAAAGGAGGTGTGGGAATTCTGGGGAAATAAATCATACATCTGAAGCAATATCTGTTGATATCGGTGTTAATGGGCCTTATAGTCACCAACTGTGGGTTATAGCTTAGCCTCAATTTTATTTACCACTACAAGATCACTGGCAGGGCTCCATCCACACCAACAGTGGACACAGTCCAAATGTGATACTGATGTTTTGCCAAGAGCCTTAAAGCTTGACAGGGAGAGAGAGAGAAGTAGCTTCATCCCACTGTTCTTGCTCTTTTTGTAAAGTGCCAGGCCCATGTGTGTGTGTGTGTGTGCGTGTGTGGAGCCATGAATTAGCGCTCAGGTACTTTTAGCCTCCGGCAGCAGGACTGATTATATGAAGAGAAGAATAGCATAGTGGCCTACAATGCCTTTTAAGGTGGATTGTTGACCCCCACCCCCCTCCACAGACTCACACACATACAGCACAACTGCTAATGGGGTACAATGACATGTAAACACACACACA